ACTAGGTATTCTCTGTAAAAGTACAAAAATGGGAGAAAAGAAAGAGGAATTGAAGGTGAGGAAAACATAATGAGAACCGGAGGGGTAGGGCAGAATCCGGAGAGGGAGTCGAAAAGCAGCACTAGCCGTAGCCGTGGCTGTAGCCGCAGCCAAAGGTAATGTCGGCACTGCCCCAGATGGTTAGCCAAAGTACATTATAGTCCTTGGTCGGCTGCAAGCTGGCATGGCATGGCATGGCTTGGCTTGGCTGCAACAAATGTAGCAGAAAACCGCAGCCGAGAGTAGTGCAATTAAATACAGGAAATAATGGCCACCACAGCAGGAGCAGCAGGAGCAGCAGCAGCAGCAGCAGCAGCAGCATCAGCAGGGGTGGTCCCTGTGTGTGTGTGGCACACAGGAAACGACAGGATGCAGGAAACATGCACAGCATCTTGGCCAGCAGCGGTAGCAGCATCACAGAAGAGGCGAAAAGGCGGGCCGGGCCAACAGTTTTGAGGCGGAAAGAAATGGCCAGCTTTCAGCCAGACAGAAGCCGGTGGACGCTTTCCGTAGATGGGCGCTCTCAAGGGTTGTGGCATTCACTGATTGCTGGGCTCTCAAACTAATCATCCAAAGCTAATGACTGTCCACAAATCCCTTTAAGAGTTCCTCTTTTGTCCAAGTTGCTCGCATACTATGCTCTATGACCTCTGTTTAATAGAATAGAATATTCTTTTGCTTTGGCTTTATAATGTAGCGCATTCTCGTCAGAGCTTCTACGCACACCATGGGAGTATCCATCACAGATCTAACCATACACAGACAACATTTGGCTGGGGTTTTCTCTGGCCAGAACTTTGTGTCTCAAAAGGACATCATCTCATCGAATATGGTTTTGTGGGTTGTCTTTGTGTGCGTGCGTTTGTGCGTTTGTGAGGGTGGTGGAAATATTTTATAATTCAATTTTCTATTGGCAGCTTTGAATACAGTATATCGTATCGTATCGTATAGTACATATGTATGTACATGTGCCAGACTCTAATTGAATTCAATATGCACTTAAGCGGCATCCGTTCATAATGAAATTTCGCAACAAAATTGTAGACGAAAGTGTGGCCTGGACAAAAGAGTGTCGACAAATATTGTGTTGCCATGCTAATGCAAAGTTCTGCTTCAATATATATTTCACTTTTCCATTGCACCATAAATAATATGGCAAAGAGGTGGAGGATGAGGAGGTGGAGGAGGAGGAGGAGGAGGAGAAGGAACGGAGCAGGCCAGGAAGCGGAGTCCAGGCAACAGAGAAATTGAAATTAAATTGCCATTCGACTGAAGGAATCCCCATTGCCAGTCAAAGCAAACTCTGAGCTCTGCAAAACCATATTCTCAGGCCAGATATATTATTTTCTTTTTGTATTCTCCATTCCATTCCATTCCATTCCATTCCATTCCATTCTATTCTATTCCGTTCTATTCTGTTTTATTTCATTTGATGTTTTATTTTGCACTCGGGCAAATAATCGATTGTCAGTCAGGACCAACAGGCGTTCAATTTGACTTTCAATTGGAATGTTAGCTAAAGTATGAGCAGATGCTTCAATATTGCACATAGCATTGGATATAAGTTCCGACACAGGGAGAAAACGTATCCAGAAGGAGGCGTGAAAGCCATACGATTTCCATTCAGACTCCATGCACTTCTCTCAGTGTGTGAAAAATTCCTTACGATTGAGTTCGCCTGGAGTTTTATTGATTGATTTGCAATGCCCATGGCCCATAGCCCAGGCATCAGACACAGGCACAGGCACAGGCTCAGGCACAAGAACCAGCAACAGCAACAGCTTCTGGCTTCTGCTGATGATGGAGCAACAGCTTCTTCTGCCTTCAGTCATTGGGCGTCACGTTGCGTATGCTTAATATTGTTATGCTGCTTCCATCCGCTTCTTTGCTTCTCGAAACTTTCCCCAAGAAATTCAATGATCAAGTGTACATTTTAATGAAGCACTCTGTAGTATGTACATACATATATCTAGATATGTACCTAAATACATGTATATAAATAAAAATTGTACACAGAAATCAACTCTATTGCATGCCAATTTCCGGAGAAAAGTATGTATGTACATACATATGTACATATGTATATTCGCATCGGAAGAGGGTAGGAATGGCTTTTGGGTAGTTCAAACTTTTTTCATTAAAACTCTTGAGCTAGAGTGCCACCGGGGAGAGGGAGAGGGAGAGAGGGTTCCGGGGGCTTCTGTGCAGAAGCCCCATCTGGGCTAAGTGAGTGCAAAATGTTATTTTATTGTCAACAAGCTAAGTTACCCAAAAAATTCACTCCAAAGATGAAGGAAGACCCACGCCCCCCCCCAGCTGGAGGAATTGTCGTAGCTGATGTCAAAATTTATTTAATATGCTGAATAAACAAAAAAAGCAACAAGGACACGAACACGGACACGCTCATAAACTCATTTACAAACAACTGCTCCCAAGGAATATTTTTTAATATTACCTCAAGGATTTCCTTGCCTCAACTCTCCATTCCCATTCCCATTCTATTTATGAAAATATAAATATTTCTATATCGGCTTGGCCAACGCCCCACAACTTTTTTCATTAATTTAAAAACGTCTAGAGTATTGGCGTGTCTGGGGTGTAGGGCTCTGCACCCTAGTGATTAGTCCTCGGCAAATCACTTTCCACACTGAAAGCCATGCTGGAAAAGTCATTAAAAATGTTATTGTAACTTTTGGCACTCAACGCTCTGGCGGGGACAGAATTATTATCAACTTATGCTGTCGATTTTCGCCGGTTTGGGAAGCATCTGGTTAAATTTTCATACTTTTTTCATACATTAAATAATTGAATTGATTAATAAAATATCAGAAGAAGGAGATGAAAACTGTACAGAGGACAAAGGACAGAGAGCTAGAAGGGCAGAAGAGCGGAAAAGTCGATGCAGCAGTTGTTTTTAGAATAACCTTACTACGGTTTACGGTTACCAATTTATGGTTAAAGATTGTCTAAATTTCATCTGGAATTCGTGCATCCCACTATTCGCATTCCAACTGACACAAAAAACAACGTTAGCCAAGCGGAGAGTAGAAGTATGGGGATGGAAAAACAACCAGAGATACCATGAATATGCATGGGGCATGTGCATATTGGTAATGGCATTGCCAAGCCAACGAAAAGTTGCTTAAAAAATCATCAAAAAATTCGCGTTAAGTGCAGGAGAGCTTTTTGGTTGAGGCAGATGCGTCAGCATCCGCTGGCTACGTGTCCGTATCCGTATCCGTATCCACATCCACATCCACATCCACACCAACATCCAAATCTGTCATGCTCTTTGCTGCTGGTGCTGCGGTTGGAGAAAAAAACAAAAATGAATATGGAAAGAACAGATCTACTTGTAAAACCGCATTCAAAAAGCTGAAGCAAACACGGGAATGGAAGTGAGAGTGGGGATTGCTTAAAGCTTGAACTCAATATGTGCATAACTTTCGCTTTCCTGTGACACACAGGAGGGGCTGTGCTGGTCCCCTGCTCTACTGTGGTGGCGGCCCTACTTCTCTGCTTTGTCGTAGGCAATCTGTGACCCAAATCCCAGAGACCGACGCCTTAAAGCCTTAAGCAAACTGTGTCAGTTGGCAGCCACTCCACTCCGCCTGGTTTTCCGCTCAGCTCAGCTCAGCTCCGCTCCGCTCCACTCCAGAACCACTACCTCTACCTCCACAGCCACCTTCACCTCCACCTCCACCTCCATTTCTACGTTCTGCCTCTACTCTCTCTTCTTTGCCTACTCTCGCATCAAAAAACAAATATTGGCTCTTGCCGCAATAACCAGGTAAGCCCCATGCTAAGTTCTGCTCTATCATCGGGGGCCCCGGGTCTCCATTCTCCATAGAAAATGGGTCACACTCCACGCTCCCATTCCCACTCCCACTCCCACTCCCACTCCCACTTCCACTCCCTCTCCCACCCATGCCATCGCGCTGTTATGGCAACTAAAGGATAGGCAAAATTATAGGCAAAACTTTGAGCCATTGTAATTGCGTCACAGATATGACTTTAACCCTTTTGGCGGCATCAGCTCTCAAGGCATAGATTCTCTCTCGCACACACCATATCGTGGGGCTTTGAAATTTTAATGGCATTTAAGTGAGTGTACAGGGGCGTGGCTGTCGCGCTTGAATTAACAAATTAATGCAAATGCTTTTTGAAATCATTCCACTCATCCGCATGCCTCAATCCTCCTGCCTTGTCCTCGCTTAACCTTAATTTAATGAATATTTATGAGCAGCGGCATGTTTTTTCCCTGTCTTATTTTTGCATCATCTTGGCGGGGACGCAATCGGGGAAGGGGACGTGGACGGGGAAAGGAAAGGGAACGTGGACGGGTACGGGGACTACTGCATTTCGATCTCAGGTTGTAATTTAATTGCAATAAAGAAAAAGCAGTAGCAACAGCAACCAGAAGCAACAACATCCGTTTCCGTTTGCACCACGACATCCCGTCAAGTGCGGCAATCGCATTAGAATGCCGCGAAGCTGTCGTCCATCTCCCGTCCCATCTCCGTCGTGATGGATGAGCACTCTGACACTCCACTCTCCCCCTCCTGTCGGTCGATCATTGCACTCCATGCTCCTCCGACGCTGACTCTGACTCTGGGTCTGAAACAAAGTCAGCCTGCGGCTCTCACAACTGCTCCTGGTCGTGTTTCTCCTCCTTCGCCTGCTCCTGCTTCTGCTCATGCTCTTCGTTGCACTCGTTTAATTGCATTATGCCGCAGGTTGTCGCATTGCCCTGAAACTCCTGGCACTCCAAAGACGACGGACAACGACACTGCATTAATTTGCATGTGAAAAAACTGCATTCCCCCCCCTTTTTCTGTGGCTCAACTTGGATGATGATGCTGCTGCTGCTTGCCCTCCAGTGGATTTAATGAAGTCAACAAGCTGCGGCTGCTTTTTGCCAGACGAATAGACGAAGAGAGCTTCTGTCTCCAGTTTCCACTTTAAGTAGTACGTTTATTCCAATGAGAAAACAATGAACAATTTCACTGGCACTTTCCTATCTTAGCGCGAGGTGCCATTAAACGATTCTCCAAACGAGGGGATACATGTTTGGGGGAAAAGGTGAAACAATTGCATGCCTTGAGATTGGGGGGCACGAGATTGTTGTCCAGTTTCTGGCAGCAGGAAGGGACAAAGTCGTCCTTAACCACCGTCCTGTTGTTACGCAGCCAGGAGATGCTGGCAGTGGAGCCAAACAGCACCATATTTTCACGGATCATCCGATAAGCCTTGATAGCCTCATCGTTGTTCGTGTAGGCAAATATGTGCGCGTACCTACGCGGGCGATACTCGTAGACACGGACACTTTTGAAGGCGCACAAGGAGCGCATCTGTTGGTAAACATGGTAGGGACTCGGATCGTGGCTCTCCTTTGTCAGCATGATCAACTCCCTCGCGTTTCGTGATGGATATATGGCAATGTCCAAGTGTATAGCACGGAAGCGCTGGCTTAAACTAAAGAAGATAAAGAAGTTAATAAATGGATATATATTCTATTGGATAACAAACGCACACTTGAATAGCCTCCGTCTGAAGGGACGTATCGATGTACTGCAGAAAGGCGAATCCACGACTGTTGTATTGAAAGTCAACCTTGAAGCGCATTACAAAGATCTCACCCAGTTCGCTAGCCACCCGAGCGATCTCGTCTATGTTATATGAGGCATACGGTGCCTTGAACATCAGATATAGCTGGTGAACAAAAAAGGTTTGGTTAGCCTCTCAATGTGTGGAGTGGAGTGCGTGGGGACGCGACAGGCCTTACTTCGCCGGCACCATTTTGCAACTCGGATCGGAGCGTCTTGTTAAGCACGCGTCGTGAGGCAATGTAGACGGTTCCGTTCAACTGCCTTTTGGAGTATTGGCTATGAAAATCCATTTTAAAAAGCAGAAAGCCCACACAAAATTCTACGGCACGTGCGCAAAGGGTGAAAAGACTTTTGGTTCGACCAGACTGTGCGAAAAGAAACTATTGCAGTGCTGCCACATGGCAGCGATCAATCGATTGATCGAGAGTAAATCGATAGAAACTCAAATTTGAATGTGTATTTAAGTATCAGGTTTTCAAATAGGAACTTCGCAGCAGTTTGAACTATTCGTATTCTCCAGGGTATCACTTGCTGATTTTAGTAGACTTTTGTTCTATCTAGCTGCTTTTTGTTGTTTTTTCATGTCGGGGCATCTCTTTGCTTTGTTTTTTGACAGGCAGCGCGTGCTTTTTTCTAGCTCATGCCTAACAATATAAATGTGTGCAGGCAGGCACAGCTTTTGCACCAGTGCTTGCCACAAGCCGCAGCACCAACGTATCGCTGCGGTTGGGCCCACCCTATCTGGGGGCATTGTAGAGGTTGCGGTGCACTCAAGTGCCTGCTGCTTCTGCTTCTGCTTCTGCTTCTGGGCTGGTGCTGGTTCTGGTGCTGCTTCATTTTCCTAATTTATACGCGCGCTGTGCTAATGAAAATTTACGTGGCAAGGCGACCGCACACTTTGTTGCCGGCGTGTGGTTTGGGATGGTGGTGGGTGCTACAAGAGGAGCGGTGTGGGTGGGATATGGCACTTGAGCCAGCACCCAAGATACTCTGTGCTGCACCTCTATCGCGTCCACTGATCCCCAAAACTCTGGGGTTGGTGAACATTCATAGATACACTTCGCAAGCCGGAAGATTTATTTCAAAAGGAGAATTTCATTCAAATTTTCTGTAAAAGTAAAATAAAAAATAAAAAGGGGAACTTTTTAAATCTGATTGAAAGTGTTAGTCGAAAAATGGAAAAGGACACTCGAGAAGTGAAGCTGGATAACTATTTCCGATCCCAGGTTAGCAGCTATGAGAGGTACCACAAGAGCTTTACCTGCCAGTCGGATCGGGTAATGATTGACAAATGGTTGGCGGTTTTCAATGCGTCTCCCGCTGCCGAGAAGATTGCCAGGAACGGACTGATGCTTCTCCTGAACGGTCACCTGTCGGACTTCGGCGCCCTCAAGGATCCTTTCACGGATATGCACAATTTGGGCAAAAATCTCAACATCGTGTTAGATAATTATGAGGGAATCCCGGAATCGGATATGATTGACCAAGCAGCTCCCTCAGAACAAACCGAAACCCCTTCGTCTCGGCGTATTGAAGAAGGATACCTGGAATCCATTTCAGAGGTCTCCTCGGGGCTTGGGTCCTCCGATGAGCAGCCCTCCAGCGCCATCACAGTGATAAGAAATCTAAGCCATCGGCGGTCTAACCACAGTCCTGATTCCCTTGGATGTCGTCATCAATCAAATGAAAGCGTTATGCAGAAGATACAATCCTTCGAGAGAATCGCTCAGCGAACTCAAATGGAAGCCGCTTTGAATTCTACCAAAGGCAGTGAGCACTTTCTAAACTTCCGAAAGATTTTGGCAAAACGAATAACCTCCGTCAACCTGCCATGTCTCACTGCAGGGGAGCCTCGAAAAGCTGCTATCAACGAATACGCCTCTTTGGGTGACTTGCAACTCCGCTTTGAGGAACTGGCCAAGCGCTTGGGTATTGACTCCTCTCAAAACAGCAGCCTAACGGAGGGGCAGTCACCAGCAAGAGAATCACCAGAATGCGCTATCCTGGGAGCAACTCCTTCTTTGGGTGAGAAAATAAGGACCATGGCTCAGTACAATGAGAAATGGCTACGTGCGGTTGCCAAAACCGAACGGATACCAGGAAGAGCTAAGCAAAACCTGCCAGAACCTTCCCAGGACCCGGTAGAGATGAGTCAACGCAGCCAGGAATGGCGGCACGACGATGTAACAGACAAGCGGACCAATGCCATAATTCCATCACCTTCTCTTGGTGAGAAAATAAGGATCATGACCCAGAACCACGACACACCGAATTCCGAGTGTACCACATCCAAACGGACACAAGGCGGCGTTGAGCAGATGACACCAATAGTCCCAAAGTCTCTACTTGGCAAAAATGTGCGATATCAGGATCAAAAGATCTGTGAATATCGTGCTATGGCACCGAGTTCTAAGGATGCCACAACAGGATGCGCACCACGAGGGTGCGAACCAATAGAAAACCCAAGCACAAAGGAGATCTGGAGTACACGTCGCGAGGAACCACGATCCAAAGATGCCACTACCGAATGGACACCAAGAGATGGTGAAAGAACAGTAAGACCTTCTTACGTTGAACAGATCCGTAGTAAACGCTTTATGGAACCGCGTTTCAAGGACGCCACAACCGAATGGACACCAAGAGAACCAACAGAAAAGTCAAGCCCGAAACCTTCACAGGATGATCCCAAGCAGATTCGGAATAAAGGCCGTAAGGCACCGAGTTCTAAGGATGCCACAACAGGATGCACACCACGAGGGTGCGAGCCAATAGAAACAGCAAGACCTGCAATGGATGATCAAAAGGTTATCCGGAGTACACGCCACGAGGAACCACGATCCAAAGATGCCACAACCGAATGGACCCCACGAGATGGTGTGATGGATGATCAAAAGAAGATCCGGAGTAAAGGCCACGAAGAACCACCAAAAAAAGAAGAACTAACAACAAAATTCAATAAAAATTCGACAAAACCTTCCCTGGACGATATAGCAAGGATCCTGACGAAATTCTCTGAAAAACCGTGTTCCAAAGATGCCGCAACTGAATGGACACCAAGAGAAGGCAGAAATATAGAGAACCCAAGCTTAAAACTGGTTGATCGAAAGCAGACACGGAGTAAGCGCCACGAAGAGCCGCGTCCCAAAGACGCAACAATCAAAGGGACACCAAAAGGTTATGCCCAAGATGAAACCATAGTCTCCTCTTCAGATGAACAAATACGGATTCTGACTGAAAGGAACGAGGAACTGCGTCGCCAGTGCCTGGTGTACTACCATGAAGATGGCCGTTTGAGGAAGCACCCAGCGGATGGCTCTCAGTTTAAACGTATGTCCAAGGGTTTCGAAATCGGTGTCTTTCGGTGCATGAAGCGTCTCAGGCGCTGGAACGGAGCTCCACATAGCCTGAAGTTCTTTTTAACTGTCTTCAAGAGTTGCGGAGTGCGCGTGGGTCATTCGCGATTGCGGACCTTGGACCGGCGCTTGGAGCAGATGGCCACTAGGTGGTTGGATGAGCAGCTGCGCATCCGAAGGGAGCGCGTCTGGAGCCTCTACCGCCAGTCCGTAGAGTCCAAGGGAGAGAGTGAGCCCATACTCACGCCGAGGGTAGCGAAAGAGCTGGACCAACTGATTGAGAGCCGCAAGCAAATCATAATGGAGGAGATGGCCCACACGGCCAAGCTGAAGGAGCTCTGGGTGGAGTACTGTCTCGGCAAGATCCGGGACCAGCAGTTGCAGCAGGTCCTGCAGAAACTCGATGAGAAGTACCTGCAGCTCGTGAAGGGCTTGAATAAGCTGGCCCGCCGTCAGGACAAGCTCTCGAAGCATAGCGCAGCGCTGGGTTGCTCATTAATTAATTTAATTTAAGCACTACACTACGCTTTATTAAAAACCTGACTAAAATGGAAACAAACAAATTACACAAACAAAATAAAGGAACAATATACACGTAAAGAGAAGTAACCTTTTTATAATTATGCAATGTTTCCGCTGCTGCTTTGCACAAAAACGCAGAAAAATTTGAAATGTATTTATGAGCAAAAATACCCTGTACTGGAAATTATAAACAAGTTCGTAGGCAAATTAAAAATCGAAATATGCTTGTTGTACAATCACAAATATTCTATAAAATTAAACGAGACGTAATGTATATTTTGAACCCACACTACCATGTTGCCCAGTACACCCTTTACTGAACAAACTCCCAAAGGGTATTAATAACAAAGCGAAATGCAAGGAAAATGGTTGCCAGCTGGCTGGGGAGCATTTGCCATTTTGTAAGCAAACTGAAAATTAGCACTAAAAAGGAAATAAAACATAGGAAAAGAGAAATAGAAAACTGTCGCTAAAAGCGTTGGTCCCCAGTACTGGCCAGAGTCGACGGGGCGTGGTCAAGCAGGGAGAGGGAGAGGCAGAGGGCGAGGGAGAGGGACTGAAAGTCGAGCGGTGTTCAGTGGTCACTGAACTTCACTTTGAATTGCAGTAAGCCTGAAGCCCAAGTTAAAGCAATGCAAACTACTTTATACACGTACATACATATATAGTACGTATAATGTACATATATGTATGTACATAAATATCTGTACGAATATAGAATATGTACATATATACATATACTCGTAAAAGCTATAACTTTGCCATTAATGATGGCTTCATCAGCTTTCGGTTCGGGGTAAAATTTATGGTCTATATTCAGAAATTTGCATAGAACGCTACTCAATCGCCTGTCTGCGTCTGCATTAATTAATTATTTATAGCTTGCGAAACATGGTACTCCTCCTCCTCCTCCTCGTCCTCCTCCTCGTACTCCCGTATCCCCCGCCCCTTGCCCGAGTCCCGATGCCCGATGCCACCTTGTATCCTTGTATCACAACATTGTTTGCTCAGTTGCAAAATTTTGCTGTCTGTCAGGGCTTAAAGCGTCGTCGCCGTGTTTGTCCTAGTCCCCCTTTAAGTCCGCCTTTAAGCAAGACATCGTCACCACTCCTATCCTATCCCTTGGGCCCTCTTATCTAACAGAATTGATCGACAAAATATAGTTTTGGTTCGAGGCTCATGTGCATGGCAGGCACGCACACATAATTATAATTTTTACAACGTCTAAATAAACGCAAATATTTTATGCACAGAGGCAAATGCCGCACGACTGGAAGCAGATTTCTATGGGGTTCCGAGCTCCAGAGCTCCAGAGCTTCAGAGCTGTCTGTAATGAATGACTGGCCAAAGAAGGTAGCGCGAAAGTCAGGCAGGCACTTGTCAATTCTCGAAAAACAAAGGGTATCAGGGTATCATTTCGGGGTATTATTTGCTCACTTTTTGGTGAGGTTTGTGACGCACCAGGAAGTGCAGCTAAATATGGTTGATTGTATTGAGAGAAAGGGAGAGGAATGTTCGCTTTGAATGGAATGTTTAGAATGGATATATGTACACAGACGCACAAAATGGATTTGGATTCTGGATTCTGGATTTGACATCAAGCTGCTTTATTTTGTATGTGCATGAATTCATATCAAATACTCGTTAATAGATACGACACATACCATTGTTTTAGTTTTGGAACCGCGTACATATGTGTAGTACGAGTAGAGAGTATGCTCAATTTGATCAGGATTTTTTGGTGTGTGTTCTCATTGATCGTTTTTTTAACCGAGTATTTATTCTTTTTGAACAATTTCAAATAGCATTAAGAATATAATTTATGCCACTCAGCGCGCTGAGGCCAGGCAGTATCAACGATGAGAGTACTTCTCCGGGCCCTCTCTTTGCTTCTCTCTATCCACGTGTTTCTCATTGGTTACCTGGCGATTCTTATGGGTATCTGACGGTAGCTGTAGCTGGGCAGAGGCTATAAATATGATTGAATTGTCGGACCATTGAGTCAGTAAATTTTTGAACTTCACGCTGTAAGTCACTCCACGGAGGGCAAACTGCAACCAGATCGACTCACAGGAGAAGGAACTAAAAAACAATCAAGTAAAAGGAGCTGGAACTGAAGAAAGATCGACACACAGGAGCAGTTAGTGAAGGAAACTCACAGAAGTCACAGAAGTGTCAAGACAGAAGTAAAAGGAAAGCCAGGAAATCAAATAAACTATGTTGTTCAAAGTCTTGCTGGTGAGTGAAAACCTTCGGGATTGTGGACTTCATGTGGATGTACACTCGTAATGTATGCATCGGTAATCCTGAACAGCTCGCACTGCTGGCTACTCTGGGCAGTGATGCAAAGCCCCAACTGCTGGTAACATCGCCAGTGAATTATGCAACGGTAGGAGGAGGTACCTGGCTAGCTGCTGCTGCACCATCGGCTTACTTTCCGACTTATGCCAGCTATCCGGCATACGCGTCGTATGCGTATGCACCGGTTTATGGCGCATACGCCACGTATCCATACTACTCATATCTGCGACGATGATTCCAAGGATATCCGTTGATCTGTTGATCTGTTGCTATTGTAAAACCTAAACATTTTTGTGCTTTTTACTTGTTTTTTTTGTAACTTTATTCGATTAAATTTACTCTTCTTTGTATGTAAATGAGTTCTTGTTTTGCCCCCCGTTTGTGTGCTGTGTTTTAATGATATTTCCTCGGCCTGATTCGATTTGGGAGCAGAAAAATCAAAGTGGCAACACTTGGCCGCATAAATACATAAAATGATAAGCAAATCAATAAACGGCAAAGGGCATGGCATCTAACTGTTCTGTGGGTTTTTCTTTTCCCCACTCGTTTCTCAAATTTGCTTACATCTGCGCATATTTTCACTGGCACACGTCTGGCATCAGGGAATTGGTGGATAGGAGAGGAGAGGAGAGGACAGGAGAGGAGAACTGTGTGGCCAGGGGCAATCCTTGTCAGTGAGGAGTATCTCGGTAGCCCGCTACTGATTTACCTTACGTGTATAAATCTTTTATTCATGTAATCCATTTGAAAAACACGTTTGCACATGATTGTGTGCGGGCTATACTCGTATAGCAAAAAAAAGGGAAGCTCTTTCCATACATACGGTATACGAGTATCCGAGTATACGAGTATACGTACGTATGCGTCCATGTGCCCATGTGTATGTGCGTCTTGGTTGGTGTATATTTGATTTGAAAAATCGTCAAAATTATATAAAGTGAATACAAATTTCATTTACTCAGCTTTTTATTGCTTTGCCAGTTGGCAGACAAACATTGGTTGCCAATCGTTACTCCACACCACTCTCCATAAATGTAGTTACACCTTGGACTTGGCTTGGATGGGATTCTGGCGAATCGTACCGATCACCGATAGAACTGCTAGCACTTTAGCTATTTGCTGTTTGAGTTTCAGTTATACAAATATGTATACACCTATACCTATGTATGTTTTTTCTTTCCCTTTTTTCGACTTCTAATAGTACAGTCTCTTAACTTTTTGGTCATTTAGCAAAAATTCCCGTCCCATTCTGCTTATCTTATTTTTGGCTGCTTAGAACTCTTTACTTTTCACAGAAACACTTTTTTTGGGGGCAACAAAATAGAGAGCACGATAGAGAAATGCCACATAGAACGCACAACGCCCAGCAAAAGTTTTCCAGAGCTTGACGCAGTTTTATTGAATAAAAGGTCATTAAATTTGGACGCTATCTATGGCAAGAACTTGTGGCAATGGGGCATGGCGTGCTCTTCCTCTTCCCCAACCAATGCTCGCCCTGCCTTTTGCCTGGATTTTACTAGCCTTTTCCGCTTGCGTAGGAAACTTTACAACTACTTGGCATTTACTACCTGTGCAGACAGGAGGGTGGCGTTGGTGACAGCAGCAGGGACAGAGGTAGGATCCGGCAGTAGATGATGCCAAAGTTTTGATAAGCAGCAGCAGGAAGGAGAACTCCCGCCAGAGGGGCAACGAGAGCCCCATGCCCCAGGCTCTGCCTTTCAGCGCGCTGCACAAAGTCAACCAGAAAACTTGACAGGGGTGCAGAGAGCAGAAAAAAGAAGAGAGCACAGGAATTGCCGAAAGGAAACATATTTCATATAGAAAAGAAATCCTTTTAAATAGAAAGTTTAATCCAAGCAAAAGTTTGGGGCGTAGGAGTAGATGCCTGGCTCTCGATAAGAACTCAGCCAAACCGTAGAGGGGAGTGGGGAACCGTGCCGTAAAGCGGAGGGGAGTACAAATTGGTGCCACAAAGAACTCGAAAGGAGTCCAAGTTGGAGTCCATTTTCGTTGTCAGGATATGGGGAAAGGAGAAGTGTGCTCTGCTCGTTGATATATAGTATACAATTCTTTATTTACACAGATTGGTCACAAGGAATGGGAGGGAACGGGACGGGATGCGTTACTTCTTCAGCAGCACGGGTGCGGCGGCAGCGATGGGCGAGGTGTATGCAGCGGCCACGGGGGCAGCAATGGGCGAGGTGTAGGCGGCGTAGCGGGCAACTGGTGCTGTGTATGCGGCGGTGTAGGGGGCGGCAAACGGAGCAGTGTAGGCGGCGGCATAGGGGGCGGCAAACGGAGCAGTGTAGGCAGCAGTGTAGGCAGCAGGAAAGGCGGCGCTGTGGGCAACCGAGTGGGCGGTGAAGCTGGAAGCATAAGGTGCCACATAGGCGGCGCTTCCCACCACAGCCGGAGCGGTGTAGGCCAGAGGAGCGGCAGCCAGGATGCCAGGCTTGGCAGCAGCCACGGCCAACACAGCGAAGAAGCAGACAGCGAACTATATTTGAAGATTGGAATAAGTTAATCTGGCACTGGCAAGTTAAGTCCCTAAGATAGTTACGTATTTCATATTGATGGCTTGGGTTTTTTGTTGATTTCTTTAGCGGATAGTTGTGCTACTGCTTGAAGCTGTGAGCTCTGTTTGATGTTCGATTGGTAGAGCACTTCAGTTTTTATACGCAAAAGCCCAGACCCAAACATGACACATCCATTGGGGGCAGGCCCCCTCGGCCGAAGACAGCGCCGGCAGGCGAAGGCCGCGCTTACAAATGCATCGAACATCGCGGCCAGACGCCTCGACACTTGGCCAACACTTGGACGCTGTGCTGTTCCAGTTTAGTGGCCTAATGCAATCAGTGGGCAATCAGTGGGCAATCGGAGCGGCCCTCCATTGTTGGCCACGCACTCGTGGCACGTGCTGAGGCGCAATTTGGTTTGACATTGGTGGCGGCGTCGGCGTCGGCGGCAATTGAAATGCGTCGTGCCACGGGGTGGAACAAAGGCCGTAAACCAATTATGATCATGGCATGGCATCCCTTGTCTCCACTTAGTTTTTAGCTTCAATTATTCAGGAACTCTGGCATTAGCAGGGCATCACTAGCCGGGAACTAGTTCATTGCTTGAATCCTGATCCGGCACTACATTCAAATGGTTTCTCGGAAACTTTTCACCTTCCCTTGGCAACTTTTGAAACGTCCTGCCTGAACTCTACCCTCATCATCAGATTCTTCTATTGTTCCCATGAATAATTTGTGGAAACCACTTAAAGGCTGCTCCTGCCTTTTCCCTCTCTTGTGCCTCATGCTCCGTACATGTGTACCTCCTTCCTGCCCCATCCTACACATGCACCCCTCCGGCCAAATGTCGCCGGAATACTTTAGACAAATTCAAAACAAAATTTCTTTAATAGACTTCTTCTTGCAGGGGGTGCGGTTGGGGTGGGCAGGAGCTTCTTGATGATGGGGGTGTCATGTGTGCCGTTCACTTTTTACGGCACTTAAACGACGCATTAACGCGCACGCACAGCTGTTGCCACGCCCACCTTGCCCTCAGGCCTCAGGCCTCAGGCCTCAGCCCTGCCCCAAGCCGGTGGCAGTTGGGCCTTTATGATGGCAATAAACTCTACTTGGGGCAGGGCCCCGAGTCGAGTCCGGGTCTGGGTCCGGGTCTGCGACTGGGCCTGTGCAAAAGTGGCGCGAATATTTCACGGAACTTGTTCAAAAGTTCTTTGTTAATACCCTCGATAGGGGCATATTAGCGGGACTATAAGTATACCAAATTGGGGACATTTTGTTAATGAAATGATTCGAATTTTTAGTATCCGAAAAATACGTGGGGGAACGTTTTGAGTCGCAGCTACGGCCGCGACTCTACACTTACAAAATGTCTTTTTTTGTAGCTCTTATAGTCTCTGAGAACTAGGCGCGAACTGGGACGGACAGACGCACACACAGACAGACATATGGACTCTATCGACTCGACTATTGATGATCAATAATATATTTTATATGGGGTCGGAAACGCTTCCTTCTAGGCGTTACACACGTCCATTTTACCCACAAATCTAATATTCCCCTATCGAGTATCGAGTATAAAAATCAAATTCTGGAAAACTGTGTCCGTTGTTCTTTGGCTTCGAAATTCGTCACGTGCCAATTAATGAGTAACTTTCCGTACATCAGTGTATATAAATCATTCCTTATGGTTATTTGGTTTCAGCTATGGGGAGGGGGGGAGGTCGCCCTCCGTCCTAAGTTTTGTCCGCGTCAAACGGAGCAAATTTTGTGCGCTCGACTTTTTTTGTGTGGAAATTTCTTGCTTTTTAATTACTTGCTCACTTGCCACTCATGAATCCATCTGGCCCTGCTGGTCCCCAGGGGCTAAAGGAGGGAGTGTTACCCTTTGATATGCTTCTCCTCCTCCTCCTTTGCGCCACTCGAGAGTTGCGCGCTACACTTGAGCCAGAGAGAGAGAGGGAGAGAGAGTCATTGAGAGAGGGAGATAGGGGGTGGCAGGCAACCCATCAAAGCTTTTAGGCGGATTAACCAATATAATAATTTTAGTCGCAAGTCCTCGACACAAACTTGACAATGAAAGCAACATGGCTGCTGCAGCTGCGGCTGCTGCTGCTGCTGATGATGAGGCACATGCCCCAAGTCAAGTGCCAAAACAAATATGTTGTGCTCCGGCTGCGGTTTCTGGGACAAGATTTCAATTTGATGTAGCTCCTCCTCCTCCTCCGCTAGACGAGTCCTGCAGCATGATTGTGCATTTAGTAGACCGCTCAGACACGCTCTCGAAAATGGGAAGGGAACCAAGAGATGGAGCCCAAGGATTGGCAATAGGCTGGTTCGTATGCACAGTCACATGGCAAACACTTGAGTGTCGTCACAAAGCACTGAAGATGGGGCTGGGTGTGGCAGTACGTGCAGGACGTACAGGACGTGCAGGAAGCTTCAGCAACAGTGGCAAAAATACTTCAAGCAACAGTCAAAAACAGAACTGGCAACAATTTTGCCTTTCCAACAGTTTCCCCAATCCCCAACCTCCAACCGATGCCAAATCCCTACCACATTTTGCGACCCACCCCCATCAGCAGCTCCTTCTCACCCTGCTCCCTTTTCCTTTCGCATCCCTTACTTCTCCTTGCCAGTCCCTCCCACCCACCTTCCCCTCGATCCATTGCATTTCAGAATTCGCGTAATTGGCATTTTTAAGCAAAATTCACGCTTCAACACTTTTTCAAGTGTGAGTCTGCGAGTGAGTGTGTGTTTGAGTCTGTAAGTGAGTGTATGAGTGTGTGTTTGAATCTGTGAATGAGTACACGAGTGCAGATATGTATAGACATACATACATATGTATGTACATATGTGATACACCCCTCACTTGGTATATCCACTCGATATTTCTAATTAGTGGAGTTTTAGGCTCTGTCATATTCCCGTCTTGACATTCTCCCTTCTCTTCTCTTACGATTCTGCACCAATTTATGACATTTATTAATTAATTTTTGCCAGCAGCCCTCCGAGCTGTTTATTAGACTGTGATTAGCAGGGATAATCTGTGCGATAATCTAGGTCGGTTTCATGGCTAATTGAAACGAACCCCAACTTAAATCAAGCGAAATCGGTTGGCACATTGCTCTTCAGCACACTCTGAAGAAGCAGACACTGCTCGTACGAGTATACGTACGAGCATACGACATTCAAGAAGTAATCATAAAATGCGATAAATATGATTGTGATTGTGCGAGTGGCTACCGTTTCGGACGCACCAGTGCAGCCGTAGCCGCAGCCCCCAAGGTCAGGGCCAAATCGGAGTCGAAGTAACGGACGCGAAGGCACGCACATGGTCAAAGGCTTGATCAGCAGCGAATCTACAACAAATCTAGCCAAGAATTGCGCATGCGCAACGTCAATTCGTCAGTCGTTGACTTGGCAAACGTTCGAATGAATCCATATGTTCAACTCTGGGAGGCGTGATCTGCATGGGAAAACAACTGAAGCCCCAATAGAGTGGTGGGCCGAAAAGTGTAAGTGGCTATAAAAGAGTCGAGTGGCTCTCTGTTGGACATCACACAGCCACAGCTCATTCACCAAGCGACAATCCCCCTCAGAAAAACACCACAAGCCCAACGCAATCAAAATGTTCAAACTCGTAAGTATTCAGAGGATCCGATCCGAATTCCCAGCTCCAGGCTGATCTCATCCTTCATTCTTCCAGGTTGCTGTCTGCTTCTTCGCTGTGTTGGCCGTGGCTGCTGCCAAGCCTGGCATCCTGGCTGCCGCTCCTCTGGCCTACACCGCTCCGGCTGTGGTGGGAAGCGCCGCCTATGTGGCACCTTATGCTTCCAGCTTCACCGCCCACTCGGTTGCCCACAGCGCCGCCTTTCCTGCTGCCTACACTGCTGCCTACACTGCTCCGTTTGCCTCCCCCTATGCCGCCGCCTACACTGCTCCGATTGCCGCCCCCTATGCCGCCGCCTACACCTCTCCATTGGCCTACAGCTCACCCTATGTGGCCCGTCCATACGCTGCTCCCCTTCTGCTGAAGAAGTAAGCCCGAGTGATCCGAGTGATTCCTCACTCTTGCGAGATAGTGCACTATGATCGTATTTCTCATGGTTTGGCATTGATTTTCCTCTCATCCCTGCACTTAGTGATTTTAGTGATTTTTTTTTAAAGTGATTTTAGTGATTTTTGTTCTTTTTTTTTGGAAGTAAACGTATAAGAACTGATGGAATTTGGCATTATCTGGGACTGGGAGTCGTCTCGAGGCTGGGAATTAGCATGCAGAAGGCATTGGGAAACGCATATTTAAAGTGATCCATTAGCGAGCGGTTTTTTCGTGGCTAAGCGTTCAATTATTGCTACATGCCGAGGCAATGCCGATGTCGAGGACTGCATATCAATGAGGATTCGTTTAGCTATCACAGATGGTTGCTTCAGCGATGGATGATTGAAGGATAGTTCCAGTGACGGAGGAGGAATGGTTACATTTGTTGATGCCACATTGAGATGCCACCATGCCACAATTGTGTACCGGAATTACCGCAGGAACCACAGCAGCCGCAAGTCACCAAAATATGGGCTAACATTCCGCCCAAAAGCCCCTAACTGAACAGCCGCCGGGGCACAACAAACACCGGAGATGACATCCTTGGGTCTGAGTTTGAGGCTTAGGAAGCAGTAAATTAAAATTGACACCTGATGCTGACACAATTTGTGAGTCGACTCGGGCGGCTGTTTCTGGCGCTAATGAGGCCTGAAACCAAAATGAGTCAACATAGCCATAGCCATGGAACAGATGACGATGATGATGATTTTGATGACATTTAATGAAGAAGGAAGCGTGGGCGGCAGCGGTCTCCTGATGTGCTTAATCAATATTTAATGACAGATGAAGACTTTGGTGGAACACTTTAGTGAAGATATTTAGAGACTTTCGAGGTTTAAGATACATATGTACATATGTACATACATATTCATACATTGCTGAAATTGATTTTCTTCGGATTAAGAGATACAGATGCTTTAGAGGTAGAGGCAACGACTTAAGGATATACATATAAGGAGGTATAGACGGGATAAAATATCCTTCAGGCTGGAACAAATGTTTGAAGTGAAAAACTTTCCCAATAATTGGTTTTCGGTAATCCCTCTCCATCTTCCCCTATGAAAAGCTACCCACCCACTCCACTCTCCCAGAGAGCGGGGCAAAGGAGGGAGCAGGCAGCGAGAACACTGTTTGACTTTGTTGTTGACTTTGTTAAATGCGGCTAAATGGGCGTAAATGACCGGCAAGAAAAGCAACAACAACCGAAAGCCAGCAACAGGCTTCCTTTCGGTCCAGAGTGTATGTGTATGTGTGCGCCTGTTTTTGTGTATGTGTTTGTGTAAGAGCAAACATAGGAGGGTTAAAAGTTTAAGGAGTGCGTGTAGCCCGAGCGCGCTCTCTGTCCGCTGCTCCGCACTCCTGTGGAAAAGTTTCTGCATATGCTGGCAGAGATTACGGTAAATTTTGCGCTTGAATAATCGTGAGGGTAACGAGGGTTCCCAGAGAGAAAGGGGGAGGAGAAATAAAGGAAGAAAGCCATAGGCAGCATCCACTTTCATTACAAAAACTGACGGCGCGTAAGGAAACTTCTTGCGGTTGCTTTTGTACTGTAGATACGCAACGAAATGTGAACAGCAGGTACGGAGACGAAGACGCCGAGAAGATACATACATACCTCATTACAACAAAAAGACATTGGGCTCTTTTCTTCCTCATCATATTCTTTATCCTCTGGCAACCATTGGAATTATGCGGTATTGTCTAGAAATGAGTTTTCGTTTGTTTGTTGCTATTTTTACGTTTCATCGAACAAAAGCAAAGTACCTGGCAAAACGCAAGAGCAACAAAGAACTGAGAAACTGGCAAATATAAAGCATAAAACAGGAGGAGCAAGACAAGCTGAAGCAGAAGCTCAGCGCAGCATGACGGGCGCGGGGGCGGAGGACAGACAGGCAGCCGCAAACACTCAGCAGCGTTAAGGCAGCAGAACAGCCCAACGAAGCATCGCCATTACACTCACTCCCGCACCAAAAGCCGCAATGCAAGCCAACAGTGCAGTATTCTCACTCCCACCCACCTGCCTAGAGCGAGAGAGAGAGGGAGTTTAGCCAACCTACGCAGCAGCAGGAAGAGACAGAGAGTATAATACGCATGCAGACGTGACGTGTAATGCACAGCTGCAGTCAGGCGACAAAAATGTCAAACCTGATTTCGATTAGGTTTGGTTTAAGCGAAACGTGTAATAAAACATATATTTATCATGGCCTCAAGAGGTGTTTCCTTGTATATAAAATAATTATAATCTTACAAAATCGTTGTCGTTGCCTTTGTCGCCTTCGTCAACTTTTTTTTTTGCTCTCCAAAGAAATGCAGCAGTGCCGCCTTTGTAGTTATGTGCATGATGAAGAAGCCAACTGTCGTCTCCTCGCCCTTTCTCTCCCTCTCTGGTATGCCATGCCATGGCATTCCCATTCCCATTCCCATTCCATCTCCATTCCTTCATCCCGCTGTTGGCTGGCTGTCGTCGCATTAAGTGAAGCACGCGGCATGCTGGAGGATCAAAATGAAGTGCTGACAACGCAATGCGGTTGCTTCTGTCAGGCGTCTCCTCACCCCTTATTTAAGGGAACACGTCCATGGCGGCCACACGACAGCCGAGGCGTACACCTGGTAAGCATCTTATCGCAGACCGCAGCGCTAAACAAAAGGATGTAAACGGGAGAGGTCCTGCTTCTCGATGGCTGCCACTTCAATGGCTCTGACGCCAGTCTGCCCATTTGGAGGCACCAACTCCAGCTCCAACGGGCTGTTTAATTTACGCGCTGCTATTATTTTAATCTTTTGCGCTACACCCAGCGTGAAATGACTTTCACCTGGCCCCGGCGCCGGCCCCCTGCTATGGTTACAACTACGGTGAAGGCTCGGGGTAGACATCGCCCAGAGGCATCTTGGTCCAAAGCATTTAGCACAATATACATACACGTACGTATTTACATACCTTTGCCTTGTACTTCTCGAAGTTTTTGCTCACGACAGAAATCGTGGCAAGGTAAGGAAGACAGGAAGCTTTTGTCAGTTGGGTTGGCCTCAAGGTGCTGCAGGATGTGTTGTCGTTGTGTTGTTGTTTTTGTGTGGCTCTGTGGCTCCCGGGCTACCCATCCTTGGCATTTACCATTGCTTTTTATTGTTTTATGTGGCTGTCTACCCCTGCTCCTGGAGTGCTCCCATCCTGGCTCCTCGCTTGCCACTTCAGGGTGCAAAATGTACGACGTGCGTCGTCTCGTACATCATCGCATGCTTTGTGCTTTCAACGCTGAAATCTTTTACAATCAACATGAAGGAGAGGCAAAGCAATTTTGTAGCCAAAAAAGGAAAAAAGACAGAGCCCAAAGACCGAACCGGAAACGAAGCGGCGGAAACGGAGTCCGGACGAGGCACACATAATGCCCCAAATCATTTTCATTTCTTGCATGCGCTTGTCTGCACTGAGCTGCTGCCTCCAAGACCAAGACCAAGACCAAGACGCGCTGGGGCGGACTTCGTTCCGGCTTCCTGCTCTATTAACGCGCTTTTCCTACTCCCACTCCCACTCCCATTCTCAAGTCTGTGGGCGTTTTTACTGCTCTACGGCACTCAAAGCGCTTAAGCTGGAAGAGAGAGCTGCTTTCCCCACCCAGCTGCCACTAGAAGTTGAGGCACATTACAATATTTTAAAAGATTTACTGACCATGTATTTTCAGCTCAGCCAGCAAAGTGCAAAAAGCTGTAAAATATTGCGTATACGCCAAAGTGCCACCTGAGAAACGTTGCACAAAGTCAGATTCAACAAAGCATAACAAAGCTTCTGAAGAGTGGTATTGGGGGGCGAGGTGTAAAACTATTCCAGAACTATCTACTCGTTCTCGTAGAATTTAAGTTTTGCCAGAAACAAGTGTGGAATCACCGAGGCATGCAACTTGCAATCCTAGAGTCGTTTCAATTTGCCACAGCTCCTGAATTTATTATCGTAATCTACGCTTTGAGGTGCCTAAAAATGCATACGATTCCCTGGAGAAAGCTGCTTAAGACGAAAAATAAATAGAATTTTAAAGTAAATTGAAGCAAGCAACTTATTTGTGGTGCACACTGAGATATATATTAGACCAGAAGTAGGAACATTGCCAACACTTTTGTACCCCAAAAACTTGGCCAACATAACTCAGCAGGAACCGAGCAGCAAGAGCTGCCAGCAGTAGCTTCAGACACGGCTCCTGGAAGCAACCAAAAGCCACAGCGGCTTCGGAGGCACCACTATCCCCCCAGCAACAAATGGTGCACATTACAAGGGGCCCCATAGCTACTTTACAGAACGCCGAGAAGCTGCCACGTAGAGACTCACATATTTTATTATCTGCTCTGGCACACAGCGGGAAGTGAAGAGCAGAGCAGTGCAGGGCAGAGCAGAGCAGAGCAGAGCAGAGCAGGAGTGCTGCTGGGATACGAGTGCTGTGTGCAACAAGGCGCAGAACTTAAGCGGTGAAGACAAATTTTTATTGCCGCAAGCCCGAGTCGATTTCGATTATTGACTGGGGCCAAACTGTTGCACGAGTGCTGGGGCAGACAACCATCGCCAGCGCCAGCGCCATCCAAGGAAAAGCTCCCATGTCTGTGTCTGGGGCTTGGTTTCGCCTTTCCTTCCCCTTTGGCTGCTGCTGTCTGTGGCCGCTGTCGCCGTCGCTCATTTGAGTCACATTTTATTATTTTCGTGCATTTATCGTATGCTCGGTGGCATTTTATTTTATTAGCGTGACATTTCAATTGATAGACCCTTGTGGCTGTGGCTGTGGCTGTGGCTGCCGCACTCTGCACGTCACATTTGAATTTTGCTTATCGGAAATTTTGATAGTGAGACGGTCAAACTGCATTTGATCAGATTGGTCACACTGTGAGTACTCGGGGGCCTGCGCAAAGTACTTACATTCCTCTTATCGTCTATCGATACTTTCAGAATCTGAAAAAGAGCAGGCGTCGAGTTTTTTAATTAGACTTGATTTGTGGAGCTGTTCAGTTTTGTTCTCAGATTTTACAGTTATAAATATACAGTTGCCTAGCAAACACATAGTTCCTACATTGCAAAGAGATTTCTGAAAAAAATAAAAAAATCGTCAAGGAAATAACGTAACAAAAAGTGCAAAAACAAAAAACAAAAAAACAAAAAACAATAGAAATTTATAGATTTTGCGAATCAAAATGGTGTATACAGGCTATGAAGGTTATAGCTACCACTCGGCCCAAGCTATGGGCATGCACATGCCCCCGTCGGGCACCGTCTATTTCATGGTCGAGGAGCCGGAGGAGGTGCCGTTGACTCCATCGATCGCCGAGGTGCGCAGTTTCCTGGACGAGGATTTCAACAAGCATCCTCTGGAGCACATCTGGACGGTGTGGCACTGGGAGAATGATCGTTCAAAGTCGTGGGGCGACATGCTCAGTGAAGTGACGAGCTTTGATACGGTTGAGGATTTCTTTAGGTGAGTCATTTTTTCTAGAAAATTCTTTTACATTTTTGACATATGTATTTTTTTTTTACATTTGTATTTGTGTTTCGTTAGTGTGTACTATTTCATCAAGCCACCCTCTGATCTACGCGTCCTCAACGATTATATGGTTTTCAAGCATGGAGTGCGGTAAGTTTTGCACGCATTTTCCTAGTCTTTTGTGGTATTTGATGTCGGTACTTTTCCAGTCCCATGTGGGAGGATATTGCTAACAAAGATGGCGGCCGTTGGATTATAATTTTGGAAAAAAGTGCCAAGGCCATGAGTGACAAGCTGTGGCATGATTTGGTGAGTTTCGACATGGTGCCCCTAGCATTAAAATGTGCACCACTCATAGTTTTTGTTCTGCAGCTGCTGTGCTGCATTGGCGAGTGCTTCGAACATTCGGACGAGATCTGCGGCGTTGTCATCAATGTGCGCAACAAGGCCAACAAGTTGTGTGAGTAAAACTCACTGTAAATGCAATGCCGAATGATTAAAACAGTGTTTTGATTACAGCACTATGGACAAAAAACTCGCATAATACGCGCGCTGTGCTGTCTCTGGGCCAACAGCTAAAGAACATGCTACAATTGACCGATATGCAGATACAGTACCAGCTGCACAGTGATGCCATGATCCAGCATGGTCCCAATGTCAACACTATATACAAATTGTAAATGCCCCACCCACATCACGTTCATGTTACTCAAGATACACTAGTATGTCACCTCCAAGATCCTCTCGAGAGCGTTGTCGTAAATGCACAGTTCATTTTCTGGCAGAAACGTGCATTTACGATCGCCTCGGAGTCACACTCCCATAGACCCATTGTTTCTGAAGCACACTTCACATTACGCAGCAAATCCTCTGCACACGCACTGATGAACATGAAACAAACAATACGAATATTAGCTGAATAAAATATCGCATACAGCTCTTAAAGCTTGTCGAAAGCTATGCACGTACTGCTCACTGTGTTGTACTTGGCCCAAGCGAGGTCGCCGCACGTATCCCCCGCTTTCTGGCGATTATTCTTGGTGTCATAATTCTGGCCCATTCCCCTCCCCGCTTTCATGTCGCGGCAAGTGCCGCTTTGTGGGTGTGTGTGTCCTGGGGCCCTTGTGGCATAGCCAAGTTGTGACCAATTTATGGAAATATGCTAGGGACATCCGCCACTCGCATGATTTGATTGTTGTAATTTGTAGGGATTTGGGGTTTTTATTGTTTTATTGAATTATGAAGTGGCATCCACGAAATGACTAGAACGTGATACAGCACACCCACGGATCCACGGAGCGAGGATATCCATTTCATTGCTTTTCCGCTTAATATGAGCAGAATTCTTGGGCGCAGATGAATGCCTGGTGAAAGGTGAATGAATATGCCAGCACGTTCGTGGCACTGGCACTGAACAGCAGAACAGCAGAGCAGCAGATGTAGCAGGTAATAACGTGGCTATACAAGTGGATCCACATCCTTCCGTTGATATGGCAAATAGTTCCACCTCCTCTTCCTCCTCCCACTTAAGAGCAATTTAATAGCAGCAATAAAAGCTTTTTCTTTTGGTAGAACAATACTCGGGATCCTCGCCGGAGAATGTCAAAGGGACAAAAACAAATAAGGGATAACCGGACAAAACAAACACACACATAGAAGAAGTCCAGAGAGAGACAGAGAGAGAGAGAGAGAGAGAGAGAGAGCAAGTGCAAATATCCGGCAGAGAATAGCACTAATGTTGTACTTTTTTCTTTATTAAATGAAATGCAAGCTTAATTGAAAAACGCTGACTTCGCAGAGGTCCTTTTCCTGGGAATTGTCTACTCCTGGCTCCCTTCGTGTTTCTATGTTCTCCTGTTGCGCCATGTGTAGCCTGTTGCAATTTTAATTAAACAAAGAGCGTAAAATGTTTAGCCATTTTTTCATTCATGGACTCTCTCTGTTTGTACTCCATCTCTGGATTCCCCCATCTCTCCTGTTCCTTGCTCTGTGTGTGTCGGCTTCCAATTGTCTTTGGCACGTAAATTTTCTTTGCCAACAAGCACGAAATTGTTTGTCCCTCCGATCCGGCACCGCCATCATGGACCCAGACCTCGACTGGTGTCCTGTGTCTGGGTGTCCCTTTGGCGCTGCAAAACAAATTAATTGTCTGTTTTTCACATAAACTTTTTCGGTCCCCAGCTCTGGATACGGCTACGGTTACGACTACGGCTCCTGCTACTCCTGCCATTCCTGCTACTCCTGGCGCTCTCTCTGTGGGTCGTCCGGCTTGAAGTCCTGCGGTTGTCCCTGCCGCGCGTCTGTCCAATTTGCAGCGCTCTGTTTGTTGCGTAAATTGCGGCAGTTCTTGGCTCTTTATTTGTCCTGATATCTCTCCTTCCCGCCTCTCAAGTTTCACTCCCGCTTTTCGCTTAGCTCATTTGCTGCACATCAGTATTTCGGGGAAGCTTTCGTTTCGACCATCGGCCACCCCCCATCACCCATTTTTGCCATAATTCAAATGTAATTTTCCTGGTAGCCAGGACGCACACACAATCTCTTTTCCTCCCACTATCTTTTTCGCTCTCGTCTCCCCTGTCGCTCATAATTATTTTTTGATTAAAGATTCCATCTACTGCTCGCCTTTCTCGACGCCTGGCAACTTTTCTTTGTGTACTGTTTGCGGAAAAAGAGAAGAAAATGCTGCTCTGAATTTCATTTTAGATTCGGGTAAACTTTAAAAATATTATTAAGAATATTAAGTGATGGCATGGCTGCCGCTGGTACAGAAACAGAGCCGAACCCCATCTGATCTTTGCTTTTAATTTAAGCTTAGAATGGAATAAAAATACACTACCTCCACATGCTGCTCGTATTTTATTTTATGAGCTCCATGGCTCCTATCCTCCTATCCTATCCTCTTCTTTATGATTTCATTTTGCTGCAGATTAATTTCCATCCCCAGGATACAAGTCCATCTCCAGTTGATTTATTGGCATTTATTCTAGGAGAAATTTAAGCTGTGCGAACCGAGAGCGAACCAGAGCTGAGAAATGCAATTAAAATAACGAAATGTGGAAAATGCAATAAACACTCTTCGGATTGCCAATCAAATCGGGAGAAGCAGTTGGCAAATTAACAGAATTAACTCATCTCATCTATTGGATCGATCCCAGACATATGACAAAATGTCACCCACTCAAATGCAATTAAATACAGACGAAACAAATCAAATCAGATCAGATATATATGTAGGTATATATGTACGTATATATATATGTATTTATGTACTTATAGAAATGTGTCTGAATTACAAATTGTGTCCCATTTTTTGGGCTGCAATTTCCTTCGGAGTTGTAGGCGATTTGCATTTTCAAATAATGACAGCATAAAAAACTAGTTAAAAGTTGACAACAATGAAATGTCAAAAGCGCTCTGTAAACTTTGAAACATTTTTTGTGTGTGTTTCTGTTTAAAGCGACCTCCCACGTACCGTACCCATCCCATTCCATTCCATCCATTCTGCCTGTCTGCCCGTGGCCGCCTTTTGGCTCTTTTTGTTTTGGCCCGAACAATAACAGCAGAAATTTTTCTAAAATTTCATGTCCCCTTCGCCATGCAACTGTACTCCGCCACGCCCTTTGGGCTAAGCCCAGCCCAAGCTATTTGCAATTTAACTTTTTCCCACATACACAGATTTGTGGAGGCCAAAAGAACGTTGGGGCATGGGGTTAAAAAAGGTAGGTATACATACATATACATACATGCACATGTACTAAAACAGTGGCACGTAGAGCTTTAGTTTTTAGTTGGTTTTTATTAACTTTTGTCTCAGGTTTTGTCCATTTTCTGTGCCTGTTGTTGTCCCTTTTTTTGTGGGCATTTAAGTTGCACAATTACTGAGATTCGAGACTAAGACTATGACGGCAACTTATGTTGGCCAAGTTAAACGTTTCAACTCAAATTTCACACAAGGAGCTAAAAAAAAAACAAGGGAAGCCCTCAAAGGGAGGCAGCCCTCGCAAAACCCTTCTCCATTTTCTTTTGGTCAATTGAGTTTTCAAAGGCTGAAGCACTACATAACTCTAAATGCTATTTCGCCGGTATTTTGTGTGGGAGAATAGGTTTTTTGCCATGGTATTGGGTTTTATCGGTTGCACGGATAGTCTGCCGCGACGCACGGGCGCCGGCAGGATATAGATGTATCTGTAGTATCCATAGGTAATTTCACCGGGAGTCGCATCTCGGAGATTTTCCAGTATTCGGATGAGCCCCTCGAGACGCATACGCTGCTGGCTCGCTTGGAGCATTGCAGCGCTCACATTGGTTGGGTAATCCGGACGGAATATGTTTTTTTCCACCAATGTGTTCATAATCTAATTTTGAAACTAGTATCAATATCAAATGAATGACAGAAGGGAGGCCAATATGGTCTTACCATCAGAATTAACTGTACAGTGTTCGTGCGGTTGTGCCCCAAGAGGTCGATTTCCCGGATAATTGGGGCCAAGTTCCCATTCCGGGAGCCCAAAATGGCACAGCTGTGCGCCGGCTGGGCGCATAGCATGCGGTGCGTAAGGAGCAGTACTCTGCGGCACTGCCTAGCGGGTGTGTCCGGCCTTGAGGTCCACTTGGGCACTACCACGTTCCAATCGGCCGGGTTGCTGTTGTGATCGCCAGCGATCGTGCCATAGGCGACCCACGTGCAGTTTGTGGGGCAATTATAGTAGCGTGGCAGGGGCAGCACCGGCCACTCGAACAGTACCGCCAGGATAAAGTCAAAGCGCAGGCGTCGGCGCCCGTTAGTGCCACGCTGCACGGCCAATACCTCGTGCATGACCGGCGCACTGCAGCGGTTGTGCGCCCTGTAGCTCAAGTTGTACACCACAGAACTGTTCACGACCGAATATATATAGCCCAAGGAGACGATGGCCCGCTGCAGCTCCTGCTCCAGCAGAATGTTCATGCACTTGGAATTCAGCATGTTAGCAAAGAAGAAGGGAGATTCCAGGTCGGGGTTGAGCTTCTTCAGCTGCACAGTACGCTGCTCCTCATTGAAGATGGCGGCCAGCCCAAAGGGCAGTCGAATGGGCAATAAGATCTCAATGTGCAATGGAAAATCCATGCATAGTCCGTGCATGAAGGAAGCTGTAGTTGGGACATTAGTGGGACTGAACATCTAGGGTGAGGGGGACTACATACCTGGATCCGGCAGCTCGCTTAGATAATTCTTGAAAAGGGAATCTTCTTTCAAGATATCCATGATGACGCGGCTTATCAGATAGGCGTCTAGCAAGAAATGCCCATTCTCAACCGCAGCGGCGTGGTCGCCATCGGTCGTCACATCCGTCTCAGAAGGCCGAAAACCAGCAAACATTTTGTTTTTTGAATCTACAACTCAAATACCTATGTTATTGGAAATATCAGCAAGTATTGTGTTTTAATAGTTAATTCATTCACTATACTTACTGTTTCAGGACTACTCCAGGACTATTTATGTAGCAGGTATTTATTTTAAATTTGAAAGCGAATAGGCAGATTGCAAATCACTTCCAACATAACCATACAATTTTCCGATGGGCGTTGTGTTCGATAAATAATGTGTTGTGCAGCGTTTATCCTCCCGGTTGTGTAGTGTTGTGTAACGCGTGCCCCAGTACCTAACCGGTTCACTAATTTGCTGCTGTTCGACCACACACTGCTGCACTGGTTCCAGAAAGGCCAAAGTTCAGAAAGCGCTGTGACCGTGGGTTCGCGATGGCGGGATCGTCTTCGGAGTGGCCCACATCTATCTGCACATCTGCATGGCTTGTTCCACATTGTATCGGCTCTGGTCTGTGTGTGCTGTTTTATATTTCTATATAATTATGAATACATCTGATAATGTAGAAGAAATACATACATACGTTCCTCTCTCTTTTTCCAGAAACGCACTTTGGGGCATTTCGACCTTGTATGCTTCGAAAATCATTAATCACGTTTTGGCAATACAAAAAAGGCCTCACGCTCGAACTAACATACATAAATACATCTTATTAGAATACCATGCCCATGCCTCACCCTATATAAATATACCTTGCGCAAGTCTCATTGCTGCCGATCATCACATTGTCGTACTCCGCCAGTGGGTGGACGGTGGTCGGTGGACGTTGGACTGTGGGTGGTGGGCGGTGGGCGGTGACAGGGGCTGTGAATGAAATGCGAATGGGATCCAATTTACTATAAATTTTACTACGTTCCTGTTGCCAGCGCACGACGCTTCTGCGCAGTGGCTCACAGCATCCACCAGGATACAGGATGGTGTATGGTATCCATGTTGCCAGGACGTGCCAGAGAAACATGAACGAACATGCACAAATGCTGGGGACAGCGCAATCAGAATTCAGTTGCTGTTCGACGTTCCTCGTTGTCGGTTGTTGGCTCCTCTTCCTTTTCCGAGAAGTCTACTGTAAGTGTGCCAGACAGACAAAGACAGGGAGTGAAAGAGAGCGAAAGAGAGAGAGAGAGACAGAGAGAGAGAGAGAGAGAGATAGAGAGTGATAGTGGGTGCTAAGCGGGAGAGACAGAGATGGAAAGACCGAAAGAACCGTTATCAATACCAGTGGCAAAGAGAGCGCGCCGTCGCAGTTTTGTTGTTTCTGTCTTTTGGGCTGCAGTTCGCGCTGTGTGTACGAAAGAGCATGCAAAGGCGGCGAAAGTGCAACAGCAACAAGAGAAGAAGCGGCAAGAACGTGCGTGCCGTGTAAATAACAGTACTAAACATATGCATACATATATGGTGTAGTATATCTGCTATATATGTACATATGTACATATATGCACATATACGATATATACAATAGTATATCCACGGATATTTATGTGTGTTGCTTGTGGCGTGTGTGCGTGCGTGTGTGTGTGTGTGCGTGCGAGTGTGCCGGCTCCGTCAAGAACGTGAAAATCCGCCAAGTTTGCAACAGCGTTTTTTTTTTGTTTTTTGTTTTCTGTTTTTTGCACTGATAATGTTGTGTGTCTAATGAAAGGTTTCCTCGTGCCTCGTGCCACCAGTACTCTTCCCTTGGAGGGACGAGACTCCACTCCGTGTTGCATGCGCGCAAATTGAAAATAAATTGAATTGCAACAACGTGCTAAAATCATGAAACAACTTAGTTTTAAGGTTTTTTTTCGCCTTTTTTTTTACACATAAAATGGAAAAGTGCCCGAGTGCTTGCTTTTTCCCGGAGAGAAAATTGCATGCAAATTTGTTTTTGAGTTGATGAGGTCTTGAGATACTTATAAAAAGTGAAGTGTTTTGTTTGCTGTGAAGACAGGACATCTTTGTTTGTCTATTTTTGGGAGTGTTTCCCGGTTCGAAACTAGTTTCGATGGCAGAAGCTTGGGGATTATGTATGTGCAGGAGCCATGCAGGTGTTTTTTTGGAATTTAAAGAAAGTCTTGCTAAACTCCTCACATTGTCTATGTTCTCCATATTTCTATGGCATTCTGCAAACTACCTAAATATGTACATATGTACATATGTGTATTCGAAACACTGTTAAGTTCTTCAGAATTCCATGCAACGGTTAAAGATATTTCTCAATGAGAATGACTCTCTTTGAGTTAAGCCCTTTCCCTCTGCCCAAAGAAGTGCCATATGGCCTTGCCTTCCCCGTCGGCTCGGAGGCATGCCTCATCAATAAGGCATATGCATATCCCGCTTCATGGCAAGCTCCGTTTTCTTAAGTGCCTCTTAGCTTTCATGCCCAACCCCAATTCGGGGCATGGCCAACCCCTTTTTAGCAGAAGCTGAGGCTAAAGACACATTTAGCAACGCATTCACGTAGCACGGGCAGGACGACGACGACGACGACGACGACGACGACATCCTGCCTCCTGGCAGCACTCTCTCAACCTTTGCTGCTAATTGCCGCTTAATTGTTTGACATTTTCCCCATGTATTGTTCAGGGGGCAAATGGCATTTATTTATACATTTCTTTTGTGTCTTCTTTATGCAGGCAATTAGCAGTCAAGAGGAGGAGAAGTCCGTGTACTCGTAAATGTGTGTACATTTGTGAAGACCGGCCGGCTAATGCTGCAGCAGAAGCAGAGAGAGAGAGGCCTATTGATTTTATGAACGGAACTTCATTTCTCGTGAGAGAGAAGCTGCAACTATTTTTGGCCAACGATGCTGCCGCCGTGACAAACTATAAATCTGTCTGGTCTGTGCCGGCAATATACTCGTGGCACACATGCAGATACACACGACTACTCATGCCACTACTATACGTCTATACGTACATATATGGCTTATAGTGCAGCTGCAGCAGCAGCGGCAGCACCGGCAACATCAGAAATTTTTGTTGCTCTTTGTTGCTGTTGTGGCTGCTGCACACACAAAATTTATTGATTGCCGCAGACCCACACACACAAAGACACACAAACACACGGGAATACGAGGCATGTGTCGCATGAGGCTGATGTCTGTTGCTGATGTGTAGTAAAAACCCCTTGTATTTCGTGCGTTTTACAGCGGAAGTGACCAGCACACACACGCACACGTATGCAGGCACAGATACATATGTACTCCTCCATATGTACATACATACATACATATATCGCCGCCCCCCTCCTCGTGTGTGCGTAGTAGTTGTAGTAATAGTAGTTTCTGGCGTGTGCCGGCAAACGGAGTTTTGCTTTATTTAAATTTTCGGTCATCGTTATGCTCTCTCTCACTCTCTGGCCGTACCAGTTTTCCCTCTATCTCTCTCTCTTTCTCTCTGTCTCGCTCTCGCCAACTATCTTTCGGTTGAGGGAGGCCTACTACAATTTGTGCTGCTGCTGCAACAGCTGCCCGCAGTGCGTATACGCAATATTTTTGAATTGTTTTACGCTGCGTATGCGCAATCTAGCGCCCAAACAGAGCCCAAATATGAACCTCCCAAAGGCTGCTGCTGCTGCTGCTGCTGCTGCTACTTCTGTTGCTGCCACTGACATTAATTAGAAGGAAGGGAGAACGAAAGGAGGAACAAGTTTCACTTTTCTCGCCCACACCCCCGCCCATCAGCCACACTGATCCATCATTTTACACAAAAGTCACGTACAAAATGTTTTCCCCACAAAACAGGCAGGCAAAAGGAAAGGAAAAAGCCAAAGCCAAAGGAAAGTTTCCCTGCCACTTTAACCTAGAGAGAGAAAAGAAAGGGAATGAGGGTGGGGATCGGGGTGGAGGTGGTGGTGGTGGTGGAGGTGGAGGGCGGGGATGGATGTTAAAGTTTTTCCTGTATCAAATTAAGAAATCACACATATACTCTGGCAACGGCGGAGCAACGGAGGCGTCTCGAAAATATGCAAGCAAAAATGTTTGTCAAAGCTAAGAAATTATATTTTGTTTGCGGACTGAGGGGGAGGGCTTATACTTTATTTATACTTAAATGACACGAGAGCCGAGCTCACGATCTCCTGCCAGGCTCCCAGGCTCCCAGGCTCCCATTCTGCTTTAGGTTTTCTTTATGTTCGCTTATGCTTTCGATTGGCGTGTGACACTTTAAGCGCGCCTCGATTCCCAGCTCCCAATCCGAATCCCACTCCCAATCCCACTCCCAATCCCAATCCCTCGACTGACTTGACATTTAAAATTATTGCTGCGGGTCGTCGACTGCTATTTATGATTGATGTGCTGCCGCTGGGGCAGGGTCCTGGTGGGTTAACAATCTTGTTGGATTTATGGCAAGACACGCGAGCATGTTACGCGAGCATAGGCTCCCCAATCAGTGGCTGCGAATTTATTGGCAGCTGGAAGATACCCTGAATTCGCGCGGGAAATGCATTTAAAATATTTCGAAAATGGTAGAGGGATGCAATGGCAGGGAAACTGTTATTTCTTACTCGTAGAAAATATAAGTACGCTTTTCCCATACAAATTAAATTAAAATATAACGAGATTCTTATGTATGGCACATACATATATGTAAATATTCCCTGAAATCCTTCCTTCCCCCATTCTATCAGTGCAATGCTCAGGATATCTTTGCCATTGTTTTCTAAAGTATTTCAGTAGGCTCCCCTTCAATCTCTTCCCCTGATTTTTGGCTAGCTCTCCGGCTATTTTCGAAAATAACTTTTAGTATGTTTTCCACACAATTTTCCATTGTTTCCCGTTCACAAGAACACACGTTCTCTCGTGCACTATTACTGGTATATACTATTTTACTTAACTCAATATTTCCCTCGTTAGTCATAGACGAAACGAAGGAAACAAAAGACCAGTAAAGCGTGGCATAGTAACAGGCCCAGGAAAAATCACTGAGCAACCAACAACAGAGGCAACAGCAAAAGCAGCCAAAACGTGTTGGCATCAGCTGCAATGGGGGAAAAGTTTATGACTTTAGACCCATTTTGTGTACATCCCCGCGTACCCCCTCCCTACAGATAGAGGGAGAGGGAGCGGGAGCGGGAGCGGGAGCGGGAGGGGGGCTCTCTCTGTTGAACTCAATTTTTTTGCAG